TGTTACTATTTTAGACCCAAATTCACTGTGAAAAGACAATTACATGACATTTGATTATTGTCATTTACAGAACTGACACTTACATAGACTGACTTACAGCAATTTGATTCCAGTGGTCAGAAATGAGCAATTTGTTTGTTTATTTGGTCTTGTGTGGCAGCTAGAGCTTTATCCTGACATGACATACTACATTTGCTGTGTCTATACATTAAAGGATTCTCACACTAACCTGAGAGCCTTTCTTAAAGTCTCGATGCACGCCACCACTATCTTGGGGTTCTTGTTGTCCAGTCCTTTGAGCAGCTCGTCCTGAACCACTTCAGCCTTCTCTATCTCAATGTACATAAAACAGATGTCCATACCCAGCTCTTTGGCCCGTGCTTTTGGCTGGTTGAACACTTTGGTCACCACACCAGACACTACCTCACCTGTCGTCCTATAGAGTGACAAAGACAAAAAATGATATAGGCATATACATAGATATACAAGTACATGATAGCATGCTAGCAGAATTAAAAAAGACAGAAGTTAAACTGTGTCCACACTTAACACAACCAGCTTAAAAAGGGGAAAAATAAATAAATTCACAAGTGACTTGTGGCCATAATTACCTCTTCATAAGGAGTAGTGTGTGGCCCAAACACAAAATAGCACGCTTTCATCAGTGTTACTACTGCTTAATAAAGAGTTTCCCTGCTTTACTGCTACCTTTGTTATTCTTTAATAACTTGACTCCAAAACTTTTGAATACCAAAAAAGGATCTCCGCAGCCGCCAGTGCTACCCCTCAGCTTCCACGTAGGTTACGTTTTTGTTTTGTTTGTTTTTAAAAAACACATTTTTTCACCAGGTGCTCAAAATTATAATGATATAGCAGGAACATAAAACTATGTCCCCTGAACACCATAAGGAAATGAGTAGTACTGCAGCTATTGATTATTTTAATCAATAATAATAATAATAATAATAATAATAATAATAATAATAATAATAACAATAATAATAATAATAATAATAATTGAGTAATCCAATAAAAAGAAAAATACGTGTCATATTAATGAGCAATAATAACTATTCAAAAGAGAAAAAATCTAAATAATTGCTCATTGTTTTCTATTTTATAAATTGCAGTGTTTTTTTATTTCATCCTTCAGCAAGTGTGTGTGTGTGTGTGTGTGTGTGTTGCCTGTGTTTAACTTTGTAATTTTTGTAACTGTGTCACACTTGCTGCCGCCTCTCCTGGCCAGGTCTCCCTTAAAAAAGGGTTTTTTAATCTCAATAGGATCTTCCTGGTTAAATAAAATAAAAATAATTAAACATGCATGCTGTACATGTTCAATGAAATTGTTAAAAGCCTCATTTTATCCTGACATTCATGACTATGATGAATGTATATAAACATCTGACTACAAATGTACTTACACCTTTTCATCATCAGAAATTTTCACAAAATCATGTGGTACAATTTCCAGGGCTATATCACTCACTACAGATAGGACTGCAGTTAGCGATATGAGGGATTAGCCAAACAAACAATGACACTTTACTAATCAACACCAGCAATACAGTTTCTTAAAAACAACTATTAATAGTCATTAGCGCACCACAATACAGACTGTTGCCCTCAAATCATATTAATGCCTTAAATCAATGCTGTAAAAATCTGACCCTCAAACTAATACCCAGCAGATTTCTGTATTGAATTTCAGCATTAATGTACTCTGTTCTGTGGTCACAAACACAGTTTTTCTGGCAAAACAAAAGTAAAAACCTTGTACTGTTTCTGCAGTTCAAGATAATTTGTTGCCATTAGCCTGCATTTAAGTCTGCATTCTGATGAACAACTGTATTTTCATCAGATTAACAGAAACTCTACAGACTAGGTCCAAAGCTGGTGTTAGCAAGGGAAAAACTAATAACCATTAAGCACCACCAATTTAACTGGCACCATCTTTGAGTCCAGTTTACCTTTATACATTAATTGACTCACAAGGCAAACCACTGTTGTTGCAGTGCAACTCAACACGCAACAGATTATGTAAAACCAAGAAAGCCTGTTCTTTGTTTAGAGGCACAGTAGCAGGTTTTTCCCGACTTTTAAAAGAAATTGCAGAAGAAACTCTTGTTGTTACTGTTACTTACTTTCCAGCAAAGTGGGCATTCTCAATGAAGGCAAGGGCTGCCTCCAGACCTTTGAGCTGAGCCACTGCATTCGAGTCTGTGACAAACTTCTTAATCAGTCCCAGGTACTTCCCCCATTCTGCACTCTTTTCATCTTCTATCTTCTGGAACAATTTCAGTGCTTCTTCATAACCATTCAGGCGGGCTTTCCAAATCTGAATTAAACACTCCGAGAATTAGTGTTGTCACCATATTTTACTTCCAACTTTCATACATTGTTTGGACAATAATGCTAAATGATGCAAAAGGATAAATTCTTTCTCAAGACAACTTATATTGAAAAAACATTTGTTTTGCAATCCCAAGATCAAATAGTCTTAAAGCATCACACATTGATCTCACATGTTGCTTTTGGTAAAAAAAAAAGAAGAAAAAAAAAAGCCAAATTAGATAAATCATGTATCACCAGTCAGCCTAAAACTAAAAATACAACATGAATCCTTGAAGTGTGACATGTCTTATCAATTTAAATGATAAAACATTCTATATGATAGTAATTCTAAGAGGCAGACAGGATTCTCCAGAATCCCAAAAAGTTGATTCTTATGCAGCGTTTTCAGTGGGAGAAACATTTGTCACTCATTCGACTGACTTCTTCAGTCTCATGCATCACAAGACTTCATCTAACTCAGCATGAATTCCATTATGCTGGGAGATGAAGGAATGGTGATGCCAATGCTTAGCTTGAGGCTTCATAAGAGGGCTTCACTAAGCAGTGTGTGATGCAAAGTGGCTCCATCCATATTTGCTACTACTGCTTGGTTTTTGTCAATTCACTCTTGTAAAGGGGGGAAAAGAGCAAGAAAGTACAGCTTGTGTTGATGTAGTGATATGGTATAAAATCATGATTAAAAAAAACCATTCAAATATTCCTATTCAGTCATGCTTTCACAAACAAGAAACTAAATGGACATACACAGTGTTTCAAGCTTCTGCGCAGGTGAACTGCCTTAAGAAAAATCTCAGACATGAGTTAGAAAGTGTATATCCTTGTATGCTCCATATGCCTATTAAATCTACTGTAGGCAAAGTGATTGCTGGCTTTTCAGTCAAGCTTATTTGTGAGCTAAAAGAGAATAAAAAGGAAAAGGGTGCAGTTTCATTTTAGCTTTAGAAAGTTGGATTGCTCACATTCTCTGTACAGTCCATAACAACACAATGGCATTCCCGCCCATGTTAAACACAAAAGCACTAATCACATTGAGTTCAGGGTGTGGTTCATTTAAAAGTCTTTTGTTTGGTATAGAAAAACCCCCAAACAAAATAAAAAAGAAAAATTGTGGCTCTCATGCTCAGAAGGGGGAGGTGGGGGGGGAGACTTCTATATCTATATAAAACATATTCCAGCTGATTATGCTAACCATGTCCATGGTTCATTGGAAATAAATAAAATAAAAGCCCCTTTAACATTAGTAGCTACTCGGATCGAACCACACATCGCCACAACTCGACAGGTTTTCCAGTACAAAATAATACTGCCTTGAGTACATGACTGTCGACATAGCAACGTGTCTCAATGTCCTGTGACATAATTAATATGCGACACGAATGCTACAACAAAGGTGGACTTCGAGGCAAGAATATAGCTGCTGCTTGGTCTGTGACTTTTTGTCAGACTCAAGGACCCTATTATTGTTTGGGGGTTTTTTGTAGTAATTTCCCCGTTGCTGGGTTACCAAAGTGAGCGTTTTGATTTTCATGAACAAGATGTTCTCATGACTCATCGTGTGACGCTACTGACCAGCCAATCGGTGGCATCCAATCTGACGACATCAGATTTTAGTACCTGCTTGGATCACTTGGAACCCCGGGCAAGCAGGTACTAAAATAAGTACCTGGTACCAGGTACAATAACCTAATGAGAAAACTGTTGAACCATACGGAGTCCATTCAAGTAGGTACTATTGTAAAACGGGCTATAGTAGCTATTAATACAAAAAAACCCCACTTAAAAAAACAAAACACCCTTCACATATTCCCATTGCTAAAGTACTGGGGCGTACAGCTGCAGTACCCCAAACAGCTCCTCTAAGCTGCGTGTGTCAACCCATCCTGAATTCGAAACAACAACATTGCAGATGTAGAAGCAGAGCAACTGTGGACAGAAGTTTCAGCAGAGTGGAGGTAGTTCATAAGAGATTACAGGATGACTCCAACCTCAGCAACAAGACCACTCTCAGCACTGAGCAAATGCGTTTCATCTTGAGTGACAAAACGTTTCTCCCGCTGAAAACGTTAATTCCAGATGAACAGTAAACTTTTTATAATTTCCTTACATGGATCAAGACAAATTGTGAAATAACTTTTATTAAAAATCAAATATCAAGTAAAAGAGCTGTGTAGAAACATTTACAAATATTTTTGAAGGAAAAAATAAATACATTAACAGAGGACAAGCATAAATGAGAGGCTCACCTTGTGTTCACATTTCTGGTCAATGGGGAGCTTCATCCACTCGCTCTCGTCCCCCATGGTGGCTGCCTGGGGACTCAGCTTCCCCAAAGGTACACTGCTGAG